TGAATACGACTCTAGGCTAGTCTCTTTCATCCTTGATCTTTCCAGAACGACGTCATAGAAGTGCTCCTGCGAGCTGCCTAGGGTCTCTTCTGATTGCTGTGCCACATGGAATGATGTTCACTTGGTATTTTAAAAAAAAAATGGATGATGTAGATGGTGGGATGAGTGATTTAGCTATCTTCCTTTTTTTTTTTTTTTTCATTTTCAAGCAGGGCTCACAGGGGCTCATAGAGATTGAATCGGTAACCACGGAGCCTGCCTGAGTCTGTGCTAAGCTCTCTGCATACATACTGTGGTTGTTTAGCTTGGGGTTCCTATGGAACTCCTGAGAGTGGGCGTGGAGGTATCTCTGACTCCTTTGCCCGCTGGTGAGACCCTTTTCCTCCTACAGGGCTGCCTTGTCCAGCCTTGTTATGAAAGTTTGTGTCTAGTCTTATTACATCTTGTTATGTGTGTTTGGTTGATATCACTGGGAGGCCTGTTCTTTTCTGAAGGGAAATGGAAGAGCACTGGATCTGGGGGAGAGGGGAGGTAAGGAGGACTGGTAGGAGGAAAGGAAGAGGAGGCTGTGGACAGAATGCATTATATGACAGAAGAATAAAAGAGAAAAGAAAGAGTAATTTCTGTAACAGAAGTAGAGTCTGAAGCCTCAGAGAGTTGAAGCTGTGTTCATGTTCTAGGATTTTGCTCACAGGTCCTGCTGCCTTGTCATGGTGAGCCAGAGTTAATTTGCCCTTCTACATGCTATATATACTCTGTCCCTGCTCTGTGGGCTTTTGGGTTATGGCTACGCAAACACAAGCGTTATAATATTCTGAGCTAATCTAGTAACTGACATGCCACTATGTGATGGCGTTCTAGGGCCTGAGTGATGTACAAGCCACTAGTTGCTTGGCCTTCAGCTCCATCTTGGTCAGAGGTCCCCGTTTTATGCTCCTGTTTGGCCCTAACTTATTAAGCACATTTTTTTTTGCAATTGTAATTAGATTTTATTAGCATCCCACTTGTAAAATCTGTTAGTAGCTCTATAAGGGCAAACTTAAGTCATTCTCAGTGCCCATCCCTAGTGCTAAATTAAGCACTGAATCCTTAATATTTGCAAACGAATAAGCAATATTGTTGTACCATTGCATAGGTTGTGTTGCCATGGCCACGGGCAAGACATACCACCTACATCTGTGGATTGATGGATAAATGGCTCTGGCCTGAATTCTGAATATAGGCTCAAGGGCCTTCATGAACAGGGGCTATTTGTCATTGTTCCTCTGAGAATCCTAGTCTATTCTGTACCAAAGGGTCTTAACGACTGTGTGTAATTACTAAACAAATAGTTGAAAGATAGATTTAATAATAAAGCACAGGCTGGCCATAGTTATTAGTCTCTATCAGAAGCATACAATAAATGGCAAGCATTTATTTCTTTCCATTAAATTAATTCAATTTACTTGCTTGAAATGAAATGCAAAAATTTCATGGAATGAACAAGGCAAAAATCCTACAAGCTAACTTGATATTGGATACTAATAGGGAAATCTACAAACACACACACACACACACACACACACACACATATATATATATATATATATATATATTTCAGACATGTGCCTCAGTCATGCCCCATATGGCTTTTTTCCCCTCTTTACAACATGGTAAGGCCTGAGATTACATTTATACCTGATCTGTGGTGGTAATATGGTTTGGTGAACCTACTTCTGTTTACTTGGAGTTATTAAACAAATGCTTTAAACATTTACGAGCTGTTAACCACTTACCCAGGCACTGTGTGAGATGCTGGGAATGTGAGGTTAAATTACGTAAAGGAAAGTCAGTTGTTAAGAGGGGAGAACCCCCTGAAATGTATACTCAATACACAAATACTGATATGGCTCAAATAAACACTAAATACTGACCTAGGGTACTAAACAAAATCACTAGAAATCTAAATCTATGAGAACTCACTGACAGCAATGTCACGCTACTAAAATGGAACAGTTGGCATTTATGTAGTGAAAGACATTCAGTAACTCATAGTTTCTCAGTGATCAGACAAGATAAATTCACAACAAATGCCCAACTCGCTCCTGCTGCCTTTACGGGAACAGTTCTGAGTCCAACACTCTGGAGAAGAGTTGCCTTTTAGAACAAACTTAAAGCTCTGTTAGCAATATTAACTTAAGCACTACACAGGAATTCTCCTTGCATCCATCCCTGCCCCTGCCAGGCTGCTGTTCCTATCGATCCCATTAATGATCTGGTGATTAAGTAGGATAAATTGCCCATGAATGTGAAGCAGCCAGAACTGCCCCCAGGAGCACAGCCGAGTATTTTCTCTCAAATGTTGTCTGGGCCGGTGCAATTTTTCAACCCAATGTGCACTGTCACATTAGTCATCACTGCCACACTGGCTGTGCCCTGTTGTCAGCACCTTACTCCTGACTGTTTCCACAGTTTTTACTTCTTTGTTATTTTTTTTCCTCTTGCACCAAGGTCCATCCTATTCATGACCCACTTTCTAGGGTCTCAATGAATCCCCTGTTAATGCATTAGCATGTACAAGCACACAAATGCCGTGATCACCAGACCCTGGGACCTCTAGGCCACCGCCCTCAGCTCCTTCACCTCATTCAGGCCGAATTGCCTCTAGAGCCAGTGTTTCCCAACTAAGGCTTCAGGGATCACATGAGGATCTTTGGGTCTGAGGGCGCAGGACACACTGTCACTAAGCAACATTCTGAATGTAAGTACTGGAAGCTGATTATCGTACTAGAGTGGACCAAGAGCAGTGGGGCAGTTAAAAACGACGAGATCTTTACTCCTTGGATGGCTCAACTGGAAAATCACTACGTCAGGCAAAACAACTAACGTATTTTTTTCCTGGGACCAAATGGCCACATATTACATGGATGAGACAATTCATAAAGCTGTGTACATATTAAACTTTGGGTAAATCATGTCATTCCCCAAACATCCTGTAGTTACATGAAGCTTGTGACTATCTTTTTGCAGTGCAAAGAAAATCAGTTACAACCTCCTGACTGATTTTATAAATGTGGAGTTTTAAAATATGAATTTCTTAGCCCTTTCTATATATTTCTTTAGGCTCATTTTCCTTTACCAGTTTCTTTACTGGACTCTTTAATGCTCTCTATTCTATTCTATTCTATTCTATTCTATTCTATTCTATTCTATT